TTTTTTTCTTTTTTTTTTTTTTCTTTTTTTTTTTTTTTCTTTTTTTTTTTTTTTCCATTTTTTGAGTAGCTTGGTTGCAGTTGTGGGGCGGGAGGGTGGAAGGGTGGAGGGAGGGAGGGGGAATACGTGATTTTGGGGGGGTTGGAATTGCATCCCCGGGGCCTCACCTGTCCTCTCTTAACTGTCTGTACCTGTAATAAAGTTGCCACGGTGAGAACCTGCTCTGGTAGATCTGTGCCGAAGCGGGGGGCCAGCCCCGGGGGGGTCCCCTTCTTATTGACCCCTCTGCCACCCAGATTGGGGTGTGTGTGTCCCCCCTCCCTCCTTAAATTGCAGGGAGGGAGAAGCTTTGAGCCACCTCGGAGGTGTGGCAGCTGTGCTGGGGTTGGGTTTGGGGGGCTCAGAGATGCCCTTGCAATGTCTGTGTGTCCCCTGCCTTGCCCCCCACCCTCCCCCTGCCTGAGGGGTCCCTGCTGGGGGTTCACCCCCCACTCCCATCGCACTCTCCCTTCCCTGCTGCCTCATTCCTGCCCCTCGGGGTCCCCCTTCCCCTGAGTTCCCCCCCTGCCCCCAAAAGCTTGGAGCAGAGCCAGCCATGCTCAGCCTGGACCCTCCCTCCCTCCCCACCAGCCCCCTGGGAGCCCCTCAGGTGCCTTTTGGGGGGAGGCAGTGCCCTGCACCCCCCTCCTCCCCTCCGTTTCCTCGCTGCTTGTGCATAAACCACCTCCCTCTGCACCCCAAAACCCCCTCCCCTCCCTCCTGGGGGGGTTCCCTCTCCAGGTGCTCCCCACGGGGCTGCCTTCCTCCCTACCTGCCTCCTCCTCGGGGGTCCCCTCTGATGCCCTTTCCTCACTCAAGGATCCCCTCTGATGCCCTTTACTCACTCAAGGATCCCCTTTGGTGCCCTTTCCTCATTCAAGGATCCCCTTTGGTGCCCTTTCCTTGTTGAGGGGCCCCTCCCCACCCTTTCCTCACTGGGGAGTCCCTCTGATGCCCTTCCCTCATTGGGGGCCCCTCTGAAGCCCTTTCCTTGTTGCAGGGGGTCCCCTAATCCCTTTCCTCATTGGGGTGGGTCCCTCTGACACCCTTTCCTTGTCAGGAGGGGCCCCTCTGACGCCCCTTCCACATTAGGGGGGGTCCCTGAGATGCCCTTTCCTCGTTGCAGGGATCCCCTTTGCCCTTTTCTCACTGGGGGGGTCCCTCTGACACCCTTCCCTCATTGCAGGTGTCCCTCTGATGCCCCTTCTTCATTGGGGGGGGGAACCCCTCCTCATTTGGGACTCCCTCTGATGCCCTTTTCTCATTGCAGGGGTCCCTCTAAAGCCTTTTTCTCCTCAGTGGGGGGCCCTTCTGACCCCCTTTCTTCCTTTGGGGGGGTCCCTCTGACGCCCTTTTCTCGTTGCAGGCTCTCCTCGGAGACCGGGGGCATGGGCAGCAGTTAGGGGGGCCCCGGACCCCCCCAGCCTCGCCATCCATCTGCGGCCCCTTTAGCACCGACCCAGGTTTTAACTAGTTTGTACATTTTCGGTTCCTCCAGCCTCGCGCCACTCACCAGGTTCAGTTTGTTTCATTTTTGTTCTGGTTTTTGTTTTTGGTTTTTTTTTTTCGGGTTTTTTTGAATTAAAAGACAAAAAGCATTCTAATTCCTTTCGTTCAGCTCTCTTAAAAAACTGCTGAACCCCAAATCTTAGTTTTATAAAGCTTCTCTCCTCTCCCCTCCCTTTCCCCGCAACTCCCTCCCTTTCTCCCCTCTCCCTCCTTTTTTCGGCTCATGAAGTTTCTGTTTTTGTCATAAAATGTTAAGAGTGGAAATAAAAAAAAAGGCAAAAAAAACCCAAACCCACAAAAAAAGAAAAAAACACACAAAAAAAAACCATTTCAGTTTAGTTCTGTAACGTCAGGAAATTTTTCAAAAAAAAACTGAATAAAAAGATGGACTGGAGCTTTTCCTTGTGAATAGAACCTGCAGGATATTTTGGTTAATGGATCTGCCTGTCTCCGTCTTTATTTGAACCCCCTTGGCTCTTCCCAGTGCTCCCAGTATAGCCCCCTTTGGGTTCCCCCAGGAGAGGGATAAACCAGCCTGGTTGGCATTTGGGATCCTTCCAGAGTGTGGGGTTAAACAGCCCAGTGCTCCCAGTATGGCCCAGCTTGGGGATCCCTCTGCAGTGGGATGAACTGGCCCACTGCTCCCACTTACGGCCCAGTTGGGTTTTGGGGTCTCACTGGACTGACATAAACCGGTCCTGGGGTGGGAACTTTGATCCTCTGGATGTGTTTTGGGGGTGTCTCTCCTCTCCCAGTTCCCTGCTAACTGGTCTTTAATGGAAACTGGTGTCCCAGTTGGTTCTGTTCACTCTTTCCTTTCCCCTCCCCTTCCCCCCAAAATCCCATGGGTGACAATCCTCCCCTCCTCTTCCCTGAGTGTCTGCCACCGCCCAGTGTTCCCAGTGCCACCAGTAAAGAAAGGCTGGGACTATCTGGGGGGCTCAGCCCCTTATATCCTGTGCCCCCTCCCTCGAATTAGGGGGACCCCTCTCCACCTCTACGGGGTTGTTAGAGTAGGACCTTCATAAACAAATGAGGGAGACAAAACACCCTCTCCCCCTGTTCTTTGCCCCAGTACCCCCCCAAACCACCTTGCAGTGCCCCCTCAAAGCCCCCTGCCCACACCCCCCCCCAAAAAAAAACACCCTTGCAGTGCCCCCCACCCCGAGGCAGCAGCAGCAGTAGAGATCGATAGATATTTATATAAATATTTGGGGCTGTACAAGTGAGGGGGTGCAGGGGGTGGGGGTGTGAGGGGGGACACAGGTCACAGGCCCGGGGGGGCTGTGGGCCGGGGGGGCCCCTCGCCGCTGCCTGAGTGGTCGAGCTCTGCGCTGTCACAGTCCGAGTCCTCGGAGACCTTGGGAGGGGGGACACAAATGGG